AATCAAACAAGTATCAAATTAAGTTAATCAGTCATTCAAAAGCTAATACATCCTATAACAATCATACTCAAGTGTGTGTGTAAAATAACCAACGTTACCGACACGAAACTGCACATGCTTCGGAAAAGATGAACCCCCATAGTCCTAATAGTAACGATCACCCAATCTTAGTTGAAAGGATTGAACGTCATAAGCTCCCCCTTCAATACGAATCTCCACTACACCGAAGGCACCACCTAAAATCAAAAGGTATTCAATATGAGTTGTAATGGGGCCAAGGGGAAGTGGTTAAGAGAAATGACGGGATAGGATATCACAAAAGTCGATTAGCGTGCGTTTGGAAGGGGGACTCGTTCCATGGTTCGAATCATGGTTCGTGGCTCGCTATAGTATTTTTTCTCACAAAAAATACACGTAAAACGAGAATAATTCTGAATCATAGTTCTAAATTCATGAACCAAACATGAGACTTCGAAAAATTTTTAAGGAATCTTTCTCAACAGTTCGCCTCAAAAGACCTCTGAGAGAATTCTAACATTCAACCCCACCACATGAAAATCAAAGCAATCATTAAAATAAGGGAATAAAAATCCACTCTTTCTAACAAGCTCATCTCGATATCAAATAACATGGCTAGCGTGTAAAAAGGTTTGAGTAAAATCATCATAGAGACATATTAACAAAAGAATAATCTCAAAACTCAACTCAACACTCATCATCAATCAAAGTCATAATATTAAAGCTCAGTTCTCATCAAGGAAGCTGGAAATTATCCTAAAACTCAAAAACAAAAAGCTAAACAAAACCTAAGAAAATGTTGTTTTTTTTTTTATGTTTTTAGAAAAATAAAAATGATTTTTTTTTTCAAACGAAAAACGAAAGACTCAAAGACTCTTAAGCCTTCTCCCCACATTTAATCCTTACAATGTCCTCAATGTATAAGACTTACATCTCAAATTGAAGAACCAAGTGTGGGAGAAAAGAGGGAAAACAAAATAAAAACAAAAATAACTAAAAATAAAACAAAGCAAATAAAAAGATAGATGGAAGGAGAGGAAGAAAGATCAAATTTATTTATGACATGTTTTTCTTTCATTGGGTTGCCTCCCAATTAGCGCTTGATTTATCTTCTTCTGTCTGACTCTGAGCCGCTTTTATCAAAGTACCTCCCATAGTAGGTGCATAGAACACCACATATGTCTAGGTTGTGAATGTCCTCAAACTTGACATGATAAGGAAAGTGTTTGCTCGTGGTGCCAACAAAGATTGAATAGTGATGCTCGTATTGGTGGAGGAGTTGACAACTACATTGAATCTTCATAGATGTGTGCTTGAACATTCGATAGTGGCACAATAGGTTGGAAATCAAAGACTTCTTGTGATTTGTCTTCAATCACCAAGCCTTGATTCTCCTCCTTACTTAGAAAGTCTTCATCGAAACTCTCCAAGTACTCCTCCCTTGGTGTCGGTTGAGTTTCTACTAGAGGTTCTAACTCCTTTGAAAATTCAACACAATCCGAATAAGAATCATCATCATGCCACAACATATCTGTCATCACCTGATAAGATTCTTTATGAGGTGTAGGCTCTTCAAGGTGGAATTCATGTATGTTTGCAATTGGAGCCTCCGAAGTTGATGCTTTAAGTTTTTCCATCATGTGCTGCACCAACTCCACCCTACTTTTTGCAAGATCTTCAATCACACTCGGCATATTGTGCATTACCATGCCTTCCAACTCCCTCATATTTATTTGAGCTACTAAGTGGACGTTTGGTTCATGGATTTAAAATTATGATTCAGAACCATTCTCGATTTACATGTATTTTTTGTGAGAGAAAATACTGTAACGAGCCACAAACCATGATTCGAACCATGACACGAATCCTCATACCAAACACCCCATAAGTCTTGTAATTCAAGTAAAGTATCCGATTCTTGAGGTTGAGTGTCGTACCATAGCTCTATTGGAATCGTCCTCCCAACTTTGGTTGTTCGTAGAACAATTCCAATTCTAAAGATCGAACTCAACTATTCTTTCTATCATGTTGTAGGCTTCATGGGTAGAAATTGGTGGTACCATTTTCTCTTTCCACTTAATGTCTTGCTTGGGGACATAAGCCAATGAGGAAGATTCGAAGTAGACCCTCCTTAGAGCAACCATGACAAGGAAACCGATTGAGCAACTCTTTGTATCTCCACCAAGCATTATGAAACAACTATGAATCTTATTGGGAAAAAGACAAGAGGACTTGTCGATATAACATCTCGAAGTTCCTTGCAAAATAAAACATAAAAATAAAATTGAAAATAAAAGAAAACCTGAAAACAAGAAAACAAATCTAATAACAAATCAATTAAAGACTCAATCCCCTGTGACCGGCACCAAAAATTTGATAGTGTTTCTAAGGGGATCAAATTTATAAATCTTACTAAGATAAGATCGTGGTGAACATAATGGTTGAACAAGGTGGGAAGGTTTTATAAAATAAAAGAAAATAAAAACTTGAAATAAATAAAAAAGAAAACAATAATAATAAAACAACGTTCAAAAGATCATTCTCCACTTCTAGAAAATAGAATTATATGAATACGCAATATTATTCCCAATTTCCTATCAAAACTATCAACCGTAGATAGTAACAAACTCTGCTACTCCAATATTTTCTTAGTTCGTCGTTAAGCAAAACAAACTCTTCACTTAATCCATTTTCCTCAAACAACCTAGAACAAGCTCTCTAGATTCAATCCAAAGGAAGCATTACGATGAGAAATATAGGTTGATCTAGATAACAATCACACAAACTTGGATCATTCAACCTAGGTTCTGATCCACATGTAAACAAACAAAAGCTATTATTGACCACAATTCGCTACTAATGACTAAACAATCAAGACAATTATAGATCAAGACTCCTAATCTAGTAATAGAACATTCTCAAGTCTTATTTAGTTGGCCACCCAAACAAAACAAAAAAATAATCATGAACATTAATATTAGAAGAACATACACAATCTCAATAGAAAATTGGAAAATTGAAAAATAATATCTAAACATCCATCTCAAATCGATGTGTAGAGTTTTGAAATCACCCATAACTAAAAAAAAAATAAAAATCTAAGCTAACATAATTAAAAAGAAAGAAAAACTAATGAAAATGAAGAGAAAGAAAGAAAAATTAGGATGATCTTCAAAGATCTCTACTCAGATAATCCTCTTCAGAGCCATCGATTGATCTCCACTTTTTCTTCTTCTTCTTTTTCATCTCTATGACGGCTAGAACATAATGAGAAAAAACTCTCTAATTCAATCCCAAAGTTCCTTATTTATAGATTTCTCAATTGGGGTAAAAAATCACTTTTCTTGAATGCCAAGTCACCAAAAACGCGTCAAAAATCGGATCAGGTCATTATGGGCGCTACACAGGCGCGCTGGGCGCACTGGCTTGCATGCTTGGCCACACGGCTGCGCTTGAGTGTTGCCCGGGTGCGCAGTTGGCACAGCCAACAGCCATGCAACAGTTTTTTTTTTCTTTTTTTTTTTTAAAATTCCTTTGTCACGTTGATTTTGGAAACTCTCCAAAATGTGCAAAACTCCATGGCAAGGATATTTCTTTTATTCTTTTGATTTTAAAACCTACAAAACACAAAAATACAACAACAAAAAAAAAGGTTTGATCTTTCAGTCGCTTATTTCGCCGTCGGAACTCTCCTTATAAATTGTATCTATCAAAAAACGAGTAATTATCATCATGATGATAAGTAAAAATACAAGTAACTATAATCTAAACAAATAACAAACGTACATACAAATGAGCACAACTACACTTGAAATTCCGTAACAAACATAAAACAATAAACCACTGTTCTCCAAAGCACGTTTATACAGGTGAGCACAAGCGGACTTGAAATTCGGAGACAGGACGAAAACAGTCCAAGTAAGTTTCACCAATGATCATTATTGAAATGACTAGAACCAAAAACAAGCCTCAATCAGGCCACAAAGTTCATTAAAATTCGTAAACAAAGATAAAAAAAACACACTATTTGTCCAAACATATGCACATATATACAAATAAGCACAGCAACACTTGAAACTCATAAACAACGCCACAACAATAACCGGTAATTTTGATTATGACCAAAGGTCAATATGAAATGACCAAACCACAAAGAACACTCTTCAATTAGGCTACAAATTCAGTTGAATATCTGAAACAAATATAAAACAATAACACTACTTGTCCAAACATATGCACGCATATAAAAAATTGTTGCTTTAAATAGCGGATTTGGGTTCTTTCCACAGTTCTCAGTGGTTCCTTCTTCTTCTTCTCCGACTTTTGCCTTCTTTCTCTCCTCTTTCGACGGCGATTTGTAGGGTTTGTGGGAGATAAGGTTTGAAGCGGCCGGGACTCTTCAGTTTCTCTCTCGGACGTTCTCTCTCCCCTCTTTCAAAATTTTCAAAATATATTATTAGAGGACATTTGTTTTATATATTCAAAATCATAATTCAAAATCATTCTCGTTTTACGTGTATTTTTTTATGAGAGAAAATATTATAAAAAATTATGAATCATGATTCAGAATTAGATACAAATATAAGAAACAAACGTCCCCTTAATTGTGAGGCCTACTCTAGGTGAAAGAGGCGGGGTAAGAAGATGGGTAATTTTGGTAATGCAAGATATTCATTAACAAGGAATCTTCTGACGTTGCAATGTAAAATATAAACGTCCAAAAAAGTGGTGTTAGTTGTGAGCTAATTTTTCTAATTAGTCTTATTTTTGTAAATAACCCTCTATTTTAAAGAGGGATGTCTCCTTTTCCCTTTCTTATAACTTCTCAGCCCTATTTACTTTTATTGAACTAAAATGTGATTGGCTGGAACATGATAAATCAAAATTCTTTTATAATAGATCATATTTCGATCTTGTAAAAATTTAAAGCAGCACAATGGCAGTTAAAAAAAAAAAAAAAAAAAAAAAAAAAAGGCCACAACTTGGTTGAAATTATCAGGTGAGTATTGCATAAAACTGTTTTCAACAGACCCTATGCTTCACTACCTCAGTTTTGGTCAAAGACTCCTTCCATCTCTCAATCTGATTCTTTTCCTCTCCTCCTTTTCCTTTTCTTTCTTTCTTTTTTTTTTTTTTTTTTTTTTTTTTTTTTTTTTTTTTTAATAAAACATTCGTATATGAGGGAGATTTTGCAAGATGTTTAATTTTCTCCCATTTTAAGGTAAAAGATTGCCCTTGTACATTTCCATCTCCCGAAAGGCCCCTCTCAAAATTTGACACAAATATTTTGGGTGTAAATCAAATTTACACTCCTTGCCGACTAACAAACAGTTCGTCCATAACAAATCGATGCAATGTAGAGGTTTTTCGACCATTTTTCCTGCACAAATAACACATTTTTCAGTCAATCATCATCACGAGAAAAAAAAATTTAAAAACTGATCTGAAAAGGACATAAGAAATAAGATTGAAAAAAATAAAAAGAGCGAGTCAGCAGGTGATCCATTCTATCTGAGAAAGCAAGAATATTACCAAAAGGAAAAGGCTCAGGAGATGAACATTAAAAGCTTAAACCCCCTTTTTTTGTTTTTTTTTTTGTTTTGCAGCGCGCACGCTCTGAACCCCATTCTGTTTAACAGCAGCAATCAGTATGTTTTTCCTACCTTTACATGGCTGCTAGGAAAGGCAGAGGTACGTAGTGTTTCTTGAGTTTCGTCCATCAATTTACGTTTTGGTATACTCAAAATGAAGGCTGCTTGATCAGCAGTGGCAGCCATAGATGTTATCCGGTAACCGTTTTCCCATCGCTTGTGTATGCCTTCACTTGGGTACAAGAAGTCAAGCTCCACAACCTTGTGGGGTTCAAACCAAACAGAACAAGCGGGGAAAATGTTAGCTTGGCGATGAAAATTAAATTCATACAAGGTAGATTAAGCAGCATCCGTTTATTTCTCAACCATATAATCACTTCAGCGAAGTACAAAGCTGATCGTAAGTCATACCTGCTCAGCATACCCAGCATTCCTGGACATAACGACACCCCAGCGACTGCCAGCAGTTGTCATGGATGTGACATGGAAACCTTCTTTCCATTTCTTATTTATCCACTTAAATGGAAAAGATTCACTCACTTTGTAAGATTGTTGGGTGTAAGGAGTACCTGAAAATTGTGCACCATTGAGAATTAAGACGTGGTACCTTTGACATCGAACTATTTAAAAGAAAATGCAGAAGAAAGAGGACAGATATACATTATCAGTTATGGTAGCAATGAATATACATAAATTGCATGTAAGGTGAAAACTAGGGAATCTAATAATGCCTTAATGGAGCTACAACCAATTAATACTAGTTAGGCCTTTTATATTCTTCCCTTTCTTTCAACCAAATTATTACATCTTCAAACTTCATACTCTTCTTTCGTTAGTTCTAGATAGACAAAGGGCTTCACAACGCTGGGTTGGGTGAAGGCAACAACCAACTTTTGCTTCAATATCAGGCAGCCACTAGAATAATCCTTAATTTAGTTGAGCTGGACTGTAAAGACTATTTAGATTGCTTTATGTTGTGGTAGCCTTGTCTTCACAAAAACATTTAGATGAAAAAAATCCATCAGCTACTAGTTTACTTCAACTTTCGGGGTCACTTAACAAACCAAAAAATCTTGTTCTATAAGTGGAATACTTTGTTTTGGTAATCATTCATTCTAAGACTGTAAGACAAGCCTCTTAAGGCCAAAGAAAAAGATAAGGAGAAAGCACACTGTTCCTGCTTCAACATCCAATACGACAAGAACAGCAATAATTCTCAGGTTATATCGCATTTCCCGTTTAGCACCATTGAATTTTGGAAAGACTAAGGTAGAATGAGTTTGGAATCTGTAAAGGAATGCTTACACTGCTGGGAGATGTCAGCAGTTTCAGTACTCCCTAATGTTAAAATACTTTATGCGCCAAAATAATAATTGGCAAATTTGAAGGTTGGTTTCAGTTTTTTTACTTGCAATGTTTAAAAAATAGAGATCAAGGCAACTTCAACAGTCCATATTTATCGATATGTCCACAAGCATATGGTCTCTGATCATAGAGAGGCACCAACAGAACTTAGGATTGATATTGTTGACAGGGCACAAGCAAAGAAGATATAGAAACTGACCTTTGGACATTACTACTAAGGAACTCCCATTAGCTGCACCAGCTATTGAACTAATATAGAAGTTCTTTTCCCATTGCTCCATGATCCAATCCTGATACGAAATAAAAATGGAGTTGGTCCAAAAGGGCATGATCAAGTAAACCTACGAACCGTGTAACATACAAGCAGAATATCACAGCAGTTGAGGTTCTTTATAATACCTTGTGCAAGAAAAAAGTTGACAGCTCATAAACCTGAGAAGTGAAACCTGTTCCAGCATCCATAATAAGAGCCCAAAGATTTCCAGCTGAGGCAACGGAGCTGATAAATAGTCCATCTTCATTGCCCTTGTCTACATGTTGACGAAGCCTTGTGTCCGCCACATTGTAGTGATATCTGGACTTCCAAGTTCCAACAAAATGTTTACTATCAGCAAAAGAAAATGTGTAGCACCAGAATACTAAACAATGAGCAATATCAGATTCAACACCTTTTTGCAACATAAATGTCACTGTTATATGAGGTTATTTATTGTCAGGACATATGTACGCGTGACATATGTAATTATGATCATCTGTAAAAAGTAAGTTGGTTCTGCATACAGATCTGTGGCGTGGGAAGCATGGGCGAACTGCGAGAACTTAGAAAGTTCTGCAGCAAACTAATAAATATTTAAACTTTAAGGCAGCATGATTAGAAGAAAAGTCCAGAAATAACGTGATATTTTGGAACTGGCACTATATAAATGAGACCGAAAGAAGTTACAGGCATTATTGTTGCAGAAAACACAACTCTGAAGGCTAAAGATTTTCTCAAATGTTTGACTAACATATACCGAAGAGAGAACTAAAACAATCAAGCACTCAAATACAATCGGATCCTGAATTCAAAATAAGCACACAGTCGTACTTCTTTCTGTTCACCTCAAAATACCATCACCCAGAATATTGCGGCATCCACAAACACTAGAAATTTTTCTTACGAGAACTAATTTTCACCATGGCGTCTTATAATTATTTATGTAATCACATGCTCTGGGTACTAAAATTGTGTCAATTACTAGAGAATGGAAAATTGAAAAGTAACAATACATTTAGTCTTAAAGCTCCTCTTATTTTGTTCGATGTTAACTTCTAAGCTTTTGATCTTGGAGCCTACTTTTTTCCATGAAATTTGCCATTCTTTCCATGTAATAAATAGTCCCTAAAAAATGATAATATCGTTGACATATGTGATTCAAACATCATTCAGACTCTGAATCACTCTAGCAAACTGATATATAACTTCTCTTCTTCACTTAGTAGTCCTTTAAACCTTTTTTAATTTACAAATAATATAAGAAAAAACAATAGCTATCTATCGTTTCCACGGTACAGTTACGGACGAAATTCACCACCATCCTGCATTTTCACAAAATTAGACAGCTTGATGGCATAACCAAACCCAGTTTCAAACAGGAGACAATTCATTTTTTATTTTTTATTTTAAAGAAAGACCCTTTTGGTACTTTTAACCAATCAGTAAACTTGTACACGAGATATTACAATGCAAACCAAACCAAAAGGTGAAAAACTTCACCATTCTGGTGTATCAACACTAATCAACTTCTAAGTTGCCTGAATAATAAATTTAAGTCACACCATCAACTTCCATATATCAATGGAAGATAAGATGCAATCAAAAACCTTTCTTACAATGCTCAAAGAACAGAAATAGAAAGAACAACCATGAGTGACATATCATGCAAAAAAAAAAATGTAATCATGAATCCTATTCTGATTCCTTAAATAAAGATAATCAATAAGATCAATTTGTTCACCTTTGCTTCATTGGACGACGTGCATTATATACTGAAATCCACTGGGTAGCTGGACTACCTAGTCGTACTTTCTTCTTTGGTTGCTCTTCTTCTTCCAAATTAATGGGCATTCTACCCCGTTTTTGCCCGACCTATGTATTAAAATGTAAAACAAATAAATAAACAAATAAATAAACAAATAAATAAATAGATAAACTATTTAAGACAAACAATAATGTCCAGCAATGAGACAAGGATGTTAATACCACCTTAAGAGCTCCATCTATTCTAATCGGTCTAAGTGGTACACATGGTTCTATCAGGCTTTCAAAGAGAGATATCAACTTAGGATAGTTTGGTTCTTCATCAAACTTCATAATTGTAATAGCTTCAAGAAACTGCTTGAATGGCGCTGGACAAAAGCAGCACATCAACTCAGGGGAAATGGCCATCTTTTTCTTACATACAAGAAAACTTTTGTTGTCTCCCTGTAGATTAAACAACATAAAGAAAGGGAAAAGTTAAATGGGATAAAACAAAATGTATGATGTGAAGTTTGATAAACATCCATGGAGCAACAAGTCACCTGATAACCCTGCCAGGGTAACCTTCCCTTTATGAGAAATATCAATGTATATGCCAATGACTCAAGATCGTCACGTCGACTTCCAGTGCGACCTAAATGCGCATGCACGCTTGCATACCTTATAGTTCCCCTGCGAAAGGCAATTAACTCAATATAGAAAAGTTAACATAACAACGTAAGTAACTATTAAAAAACAAATCACAATAATTACACCTCCGATCATGTTGCATACCTAAATATGTCAGGCCTCTGATCATAGTCAACATGCTGACCAGATGATGCATCCTTCCATCTAGATGCTAAAATTGAAGTAAATTGGCACTAGTAATAAGTGTTAAGGCACAAAAGCCATGAACTTACAGAAAAGTAAAATTTTGCAGTAATGACGCAATCGGGATTTTGGTAAAAATTCAAGTGGAAGTCAGTTAAAAGGATAAAAGAAAACAGAAAATGGAACATACCCAAACCAAGATCAATCAGATATAGCTTCTTCTCATCTGCTGTTCCAGGTTGACCAAGGAGAAAGTTCTCTGGCTTTACATCACCATGCACAAACCTTGTTTGCAATGATAAATTTCAATAGTTAGTAGTGCATTTGTCAAAAAAAATATATATATCTAATATATATTACAGTGGAAGGATTTCTGGAAAGAGAGAAAAAGCATGATAGTTATTGGTACTTGGTGGGTCTTACCCTTTCATGTGAAGCTTCTCAAGAATTGATATTGCCTCCACAGCAATGCAAGCCGCCATATTTGGTGACATCCTGTTTCAAATGTTAACAAATTTGGGACAAAGCAAGTATCAAATAAGTGTGTTTTCACTTAGCACGGGTTAAGCATGGTTTGTGTGCGTGTAGGTAGATTATGTAGTGATCACGGAGGGAAACTTTGTGGTCTGCAAGGGAGCTGCAAATCAATACGGCCGTGAATGATGAGTTTTCATTACACACACACACACATTTACTATACATATATGTGTGTGTGTGTGAGAGAGAGAGAGAGAGAGATTGATCTTACGATTGCCCAAGAGAATTCCAAACGTCCCAAAGGCTAGGGCCAAGCATGTCCATTACCTGACACATGCAGAGACTCGTTTAGACAAAAAATTAATTGTTTGCAAATACATCTCCTCTCCTAATTGTGAGAAGCAACATATCAAACCTCACCAGAATGTAAAAATCTCCTTGGCGACCCTTGTAGTGAACCCATGGAATTCCATAACATCCATTAAGAGTACTGGAGAAACATTAACAATTATAAGAACAAGAATCAGATGATCAGTTCAAGAAAATCAAAGACCAACTAACCAATAACATGATGTACAAGTAAGCAAAAAATAGCATGGGACTTACTTGTACACTTGCCACTCATAAGGAGGGCCATAGTTGCAGCCTTTACTATTTCGGTGCTCGAACTTCAAGGCCACCTGCAAAGAAGTTCCTAAAACTTCAATGATCTTGTTATTAACTGAGTAAAATTTTGAAAATACAACTCTTTTTTAATCATACTTCAATTGCATCGGGTCCTGTTCTGTCGCTGCCACCACTAGCCCTTCTGCCAACATAGACTTGGCCAAAACCACCCTTTCCCAACTTCCTTTCTGTCTTATATACAGGAGAATTCCCCACTTGTACCTGCATCCAGAGTGGAAACACTTGCATTAGAACATGACCTTAGTCTGCACAATGAGAAACATATTAACTGGCAGTTAATCAAAACAGGCCAATGATACTACAAGAATTAAAATTAGCCAAAACACCAACATGTAGACACTAGTCATTCTCCGTTGAATGCTTTAAGATGTTTTAATCTGAAAGCAATCTAATTATATCAATACTAGTCATTCTCCATTGAATGCTTTGGAATGTGAAATAAGGAAGACAAAATATGTTTTATCACCTAGTAAGAGTATCTTGACCACATTTATCAACTTTTTTTACCCATCCTATTACACACTAATCAGCATCGTTTGAAATCAGAATGCATCCAATACAGTCAAACTAGTTCATTCCACAAATTCTAATCATAACAGCCAGCTAGCAAGAGTTAAATGACCAGAATAGCTAAATAGTACTTCATAGTGTTACCAAAAGTAGTAGTGGACATAAATGAAAAACCTACTATTCTGTATATAGCATTTTAAAGATACATTTAGCTCAAATATAGAAACAAGGAGACAGTGGGTACCCTCTCGGGGACAGGAGTCGTGCTCGTTTCTTCTTCGACTCCTATTATTTTGTCTGCACTCCCACCACCCTCCATTGCAATATCTTTATCTGCTACGACCTCTAGATGATTGTAAGCGGGTCCTGCGGCCGCCCCTAAACCAGCTCCTTCAGGAACAACCTCGCAGGGTTCTGGGTCTAAGTCTAGCAACTTGATTCCCCGGCCTCTTCCACCTGCAGTCTGCCTTGTAGGTATCGCTGGTGATGGCCCTTTTGCTACACCATTTCCACCTCTTCCTCTCCCACCGCCGACTCTCCTCCTGGGTTTATTTGGAGTGGGCAGTGGCCAGTTTTCGGCCTGACCGATTGGTTGTGGCGAAGGCTGAAGATCACCAAGCCGCTTCGATCTCCGCACTCCGCTTCGCAACTCTGGCATCCTCACCCCATGCAAATCACGTACATCTCACTTAACTTACCCCCAAAATCCCTCTAGATGATGATCTGCAATCCAAGTTCAACCAAACCCAAAAAGAAGAAAAATATAAATTACAAAACAAAAACACCAAAAACAAAAGACCAGCTCGAATCACATAACAGATACAAATACTACATATAGAATGTCCTTTAAAAAACAAGAAAATAAACTTACAAAAGACCTCATCCACATAACTCACAGATTATACATTTTTGTCCCACCATAGCAGATTGCATCAAATGACTGTCAATACAGAGAATCATAATAGCTCACCCACAAAAAAGAGCCCCAAAAAAAAAAAAAAAAATGATCCAGTTGACCCAATTGCTATCTGTCTATCTATAGAGAACAAGAAAGACAAAGCAGAATACTGAAAAAGCACTAGATTCTATTCTGGGTAATAACTATAAAAAACCTGACTTTCCCAAAAACAAGCCAATAAGAAAAAAGTTAGTTTTCTCAAAAATATCAAATTCTGGGTATCCCTCTTTTACATTCCACTTATAATGCATAATCTGTTTCCCTCTTTTAACCATAAAATTTGGTTTTTTATTCACATTCACCAACTTAGTGTTATAACGTTGATAAAAAAAACACAAACATCATCATCAAGCATAAATCTTCCATAAAAACAAATTAAAAACAAAAAACAAAAAAACTTCTTCGTGATCGGGAAAAAACATACACATTGTTTTTCATCAACAAAGAAAATATCCAATCCGATCATCGAGAAAGAAAAACCACAAAGAGAACATCGGAATATCTAAACAAGGCGATCATCAAGCAATCACAACGCCAATAAACTCATGAAAATATAAGGAAACAGAAAAAAGTTACCAGTGGATCGGTTCCTGTAGAATCGAAAAGGAACGAACGACGATCGGAGGAAAAAGGGAGAAAAAAAACGGATTGAGAAACGTTTTTATGATGGATTGCCGGCAGATCTTCTTCTTCGTCTTCGGCTTCGGCTTCTCCTTATCCTAGGCTGGAGTGAAAACAGAGAAAGACACGCAATTTTTTGTGTCTGAATTTCCTTCTCTTTTTATTTATTTATTTATTTATTTGCTGATTTTTTTTTTTTTGAATGTTTGAACTTTGAAGCTATAAAATTAAATTGTTTTGGCAGGTCATTTTTTTTCTTTTTAGAATAATTTATGGCAGATAAGTTTGTTTTTTATAATCTTTTCGAGAAGAATTATATTAGATCAATTTCATACCTTAAAAGAAGTGGGTGAGCTTCCCTTATTTGTATTATCAAAAAGGAAAACAAATGCTCTCCTTATTTATTATTTATTATCATTTTAGAATAAAAGGTAATTCTTTTATTGTGGTAAAATTAAATTTTTTGGAAAATGATTATTCTGAAAAAAAAATGATTGAGTAATGGAAGTGGCGGTGATATTTCTATTCTTGTTTTATAGTTTTTGTTTGATTCCAAAAAGACTAATTTATATTAAAAAAAAGACTAATTTAGTTATGTTCAGTCCGGTCCGATCTAATGTAAGTACGGAGTTATAATTAAAATTTTCATAACATAAAATATAAAAACAAAATATAGGAAAAAAGTTTACTAAAAAATTTAAAGAGTATATAAAAAGCGGATTAAACGTGTGTTTGGTTCAAAGATCTGTGTCATAATTCGGATCATAATTCGTGGCTCACTATAGTATTTTTTCTCACAAAAAATACACGTAAATTAAAAATAATTCTGAATCATGATTCTGAATCAATCAACCAAACGTCCTCAAGTGAAAAGTTTAGATGATTAAATTGATGAAATATAAGATAAAAAAAATAGAGGAAGGAGATTATTCTGATGAGAAAGTTTATATATGAGGTTTAAGAAATCTAAAAGAGAAAAAGAGAGTAAAAGAGGAATAAAAAAAGGAAAAATTATAAGAATTTTAGTGTAAGTGACTATAATAGACATGGTGGTAAACAGGAAAAAAAAAAACGAAAGCAGAAAGAAAGAAAGAAAGAAGGGTAAAACCACTTATAAGAGATATTAGAAGACAAATGGAGTTAAAAAAGAATGAAAGAAGAAAATTAAATTAGAAATAAAAAAATAAAAGATAAAGAATAGAGTTAGAAAGAAATTTAAAAAAAATGAGAGGGGCAAAGTGAAAATAATAAAAAAAAAAGAAGGACAAAGCACCAAACAGTGTGTAATGGACGACGAAGTGTGAATAGTATAACATAAGGGTCATTTGCACGTATTAAATTGTTATTAACATTTTTAAAACATAGATAATAAATGAAAAAGAATGAATATAAAAAAATTTTACTTAGAAATTTAACAAGAAAAATGGTAATTTGCACAAATAGTCTTTGATAATAAATTTATTATTTTTACGAGTAAAGTATACCGGGTCAGGGTTTTTTATGAGGGATTAAATAGTAAAAGAAAGAAATACAACTTTAAAAAGAAAAAAAAAAGAAATTTGGATTGGTTTTAACTTTATATTTCACATACTTACTTTCCGGGCTAAGATTGAAGTATTCTTGCACCGCGTGAAGATCCTTAGGGTCGAAAAGAGATAGAAGTAGGCCTAACTTTCTAAGATTTATCTTTGGTTAGGAAGGTATCGATGTGGCGGCCGCTCTCAGAAAGCTTGAAAGCTGACAAAAGCTTTGCGCGGTTTTGGGGCTCTGCATGTTAAGAGAGAGAGAGAGAGAGAGAGAAAAGTTAGAGAACTATGAATGCAAATGTGAAGGGTATGCAATAAATAATGATAGTAGATGTTGGGAATGGTGTCCTAAAAGCATGAGATGTAATAAGATATTTATTATTTAATTAATAAAATAGTTTATTCATCATTTTATGTGCATATATTTATGAATATTTTATGAATATCAAATGAAAATTTCGTTATTATTTATGTAACCTTAAACATTCTATATAAGTGTTGTATACGAGAGGATAATATTTAAGGATAATAATAAAAAATATTGTTCATAATGAATTTAATTAAAGTTCAGAATCTTTAATTAAAACATTATTAATACATGTCATTCCCATTTAGAATGGAACGGTGCTATCCGCACTGTTAATATGGTGAGATATTGAATTAGTGTGTTTCGCATAATAGATTGTGTGGAACAGGGACACAGACACAATATGAATTTCTAATAATTTCTGTTAAGCATAGAAATTATAATTGAGTCTTCCGATGGTCATATATAGAATGATCATAATCCTGAGTTCTTAACAAATTCCTATTTATGGATTTGTGTCTTTTGATTTACTCGGTATGAATTCTGAGACCCTGAATCTTATTCCTTGTATTTTAGAGACATGATGAAATAGGTAGCCGGGAATGTTATTATACGAGATGGAATCCATTCCTTCTTGAGAAAGAAGTAGATAAATAATT